ATAAGAAGAAAAAAACATTTTTATACCTGGTGCAAATAGAAAGCTAATAGAACTGGTTCCCCTATGTATTACACTGAGTTGTATTCATTTCTTCCCGCTTCATGTTAAGCCACACTGAGTTATGTCCCATGATGGAAAATGTTTCGTGCTCTGCATTGGACAGATATAAGACTTTATGTCTGAGCTTGCGTCGCGTAGCACCTGGAGAACCAGTTTTTGTCCCGGCCGTCGGATGGCGCTTGTGTTACTTAGAAGGCATGCTAGCGCTGTGGAGGAGCTGTCCTACCCAGAGTGTAAGGAGCTTATCAACAGTTACTTTTAGTACAGGTTTTACCAGCTTCCTTGTATAGGGTCTTGACGCTGGTTTCGTCCACACGTTTCTCCATCATACAACACAGTACGTACGTGTCCACGCTGTTGTGCTTGTTTGTATACCTCATTGTATCACTCTTCAATGTCTGGTTGAATTTGAGAACGAATGGGACAGTGTGTATTCTGACATAAGACTCCATTCGGCGTATATGACTGAACTAAAACGAAACGAAACGAAACGAAACTAGTCGCAGTATTCTTGTTTATTACAGAATGACGAATAACAGCAGAACATATAAAAATCCAGTACTTGGACTGTTCTGAAGCATTGTTTGTAAACAATAGTCGATAACCCCTGAACTTACTCGGGTGTAGTAGGCTTATTCCGCGAGAGGAGTTTCTGCTTCAGTGGTCTTTCATGATATAACATTTATACTAAGTTATCCTATAATAATTAGATCCACATCAAGTGCTTTTATGACTTATCATGATGTAATATTTATACATCATTTCATATAATTATAGTTTAGCAAGTAATACTTATCATCAGGTAAAATGCATATATAAAATATCAGTAGTTTCAGTTATAGCTTTTTAGATAGATGCTAGCCTAAGGTATCCATATCCCATCTCCCAGACAAAATATATGTCGACATAGTCTTATAGATTACCTTGAACTATTTTATTTAAGTAAATCTGTCATCACCTATATTAGAATAACATTCAGCAATTACTTCAATTTAGACTCATTAAGGACTCGTCTATAGGGCATTAAGGATTAGCCCCCATACAAGCTCGTCTATAGTGCATTAAGGATTAGCCCCAACACAAGCTCGTCTATAGTGACACCATAATCTCTTTCAAAGCATCCAGTAAATATGTCAACAAGATTAGTGCCAGTCCAACAGGATTAACAGGATTAAGTATTCCCCTCTGTCTAGCCATTCATTTAGCATAGGGCACAACCCATCGTGTATCAACCAATCATATTCCATTTTATTGTTCTAATTTTTGTTAAATACATACAGAAACCACATGTTAGGGCAAGAAGGAGTTTGACTCTCATACCAAGCAGACCTCTCTCCCACAGCCTAGAGGGTTCTACCGACTCTCTGTGGCACCCTCAGCTATTTTCTAAGATATTGTAAATTGTTAATTGTTCTTGTAAATAAAATTGTGATTAGTCTCCTGTGACTCCGGCTCTTTGCTGACTAATTCCCCAAGAAAACCAGCACGCCATTTGGAAGGTTTTGTTCATCCAAAACAGTCCATGAGAGGTCACAACGATCACCCCACGGGTGTAGGCTCATATCATCAGATTTTTGTTTGTAAGCAAACGCACTTATTCTGAAATGAGAAGAACCGGGTCAATGCAAGCCTTACATATTGATTTACATAATTATATAGACATCCTACAACCGCAACACTGAGGTGCATGACAATATTGCTTTACACATCAAAGTGACCGTATGGTATCTAACGAACAGTTATTTCCAAATCCCCGACGCGCACGTGATCGCATCTCGTATTATGTTTGCTCGTTTTCATAAGAAGAATGAGTGAGTGAGTATGGTTTCTTTGAGAAGAAGAACAAAACAACAAAAAGACTCCTGTGAGTGTTATGAAGCCATGTAGCCGATTGTTAGACAATGATTGTAACTGTATTACATTGTTTCTGTTGAGATTCAGTAGAAGGTCATTGCTTTGTATTTGGACCATGTTTAGTTGTCAGGAATGTAATATTATGTATTCTAAGTAGTGGTGTTGAAGTTATTATATTTAGATGCTCAAATTATCTGTAAAATTCCGGAATAGGATGTATGTCAAGCGTTATCAAAACATGTAGAATATTATATGATGTTCTAGTGACACTGGACTTGTCAAGCACTGTGTGGAATGTTCTCGAAGCTAGTTATATCACACATTATCTGACATTACATCAAGACCAGTTTCCATATGAACATCACTTTTCACCCTTGTGTTCAGCCTGAGCCTATCTCGGAAACTTGATCACTGTTGCAGATAGGGGTACGTTATTATCACCACCATCAAATTTTGCATTTGATACTGATATTGAATATTGTACTACTACTCTATTGCATACTGTCATTGTAATTGCTGTGCAGTATTTTGTATTGGTTTGTAAACTTAGCAGTCAACTGACATGTACTAATGAGAGATCAGATAAAAATCATTGCAATCTGTCTTTCTTTTATTGGATTGTCACTGGTCGCAGTCGGAGAAATCACAGCTAAGGGAATCAACCCAGGATATTATGTCATATTGTTCACGTGGTTACGAGAATGGCCAGTTGTGAATGTCTGCGCATCTATTGCACATCTGCAGCGGCACAGGGAGGTTAACAGCAGGGTGTCGGGGTGTATCAGTTACATGCCAGACCGTAGCGCTGATGGTTTATGATAAACTGTTGAGAGCGCGGTCCCTCTATTTTCCGGTCTCCCGATAAATTGATAAAAGCATGTGTTACTATTTGTTTTGACTACAAAAATTGAGTGTTACATGCCGGACTGTAGGGCTGATGGCGGTGCAGGTGGTCACGTGACACGTGTTGTTAAGACGATGGCTATAACTCGTACAGTTGGTCGACGGAAAATTTGTATTCCGCTGTAACGCGACGATCGGGAATCAAAACAGTGGAAAGAACAAGGGAAGAGTGGCGATAACTGATCGGTGACCAATATGGTTTAGATGACAGCACATCCATGGAGGATAAATACGCCAATGAAAATAATATTTAACGTTTTGGGATATATTCTTAAAGAAATTGGAACAGTTCATGATATACCTTTTTCTAAATCTGTAGACTCATCCAAAATGAAACAGATGAATGGAAAACAGGTGAATGGACTGTGTAGGAAATTGGAACAGTTCATGATATACCTTTTTCTAAATCTGTAGACTCATCCAAAATGAAACAGATGAATGGAAAACAGGTGAATGGACTGTGTAGGATGTGACAGAGCTACTAGGCTGGCCGCATCGAACTCTGGGTTGAAGAATGATTGCTTCATACAAAAGAAGCATTTATGTTGTAATCTACGCCTCGCTATGCACTGGCCTCTAGTCTAATTGAGCTTGCAATAAGTATTTTAAAACTGATCTGTAAGAAAAAACGCGAGATTTTTCTTCAATTTGCCTCTAATAAAAAACATGACTGAAGCAAGTACATTCGGTTTGTTCGGTTCGCTTTGGAGATCTCGAGAAGTAAATCATTCAACTGAATGTGAGAGGGCATACTCAGAAATGATATCATGCATGATTTCAAAACACAAATAACCGTCGACGTGTTTAAGGATGGATTTCTTTCACTCACAAAGATCGCCTCATGTTGTAAAGAGTGTACAAAGTTTCATTTTGCCATCGTCTCACACCACAGAGCTCGTATTACGGTAGACACAAGTGAGCTGCCAACGCCCAAACGGACTAGATTAAGTTGTGACAAAACACCTGATTCCTTATACAACCTTTCAATATCATCAAAATGAGGTTATGTTATGGCTGGCGTCCATCATCCGACCGTTGGCACTGAACTTGAAAACTCATCTTCTGTTATCTAGGTATGACAGGGATAGAACATCATAGGGTTTTGTCACGTGTTTGTTAACTTTGTTGCCCCCGGGTCAAGTTTCACAAAGCTATCTTAGCCCAACGACTGTCGTAAGTCTATGTTAATGTATGGGAGCTACGATTTTCGCGCTCCGACTATCGTAAGGCTATCGTAATGTATTGGAGCTACGATTCTCGCGCTCTGACTACAGTAAGTCTATCTTAATGTATAGGGGCTACGATTTTTCTCACTCCGACTCTCGTAAGGCTATTGTTATGTATTGGAGCTACGATTTTCACGCTCTGACTACAGTAAGTCTATCTTAATGTATGGGGGCTACGATTTTTCTCACTCCGTCTATCGTCAGGCTATCGTAATGTATTGGAGCTACGATCGCCAGAATTCTAAAGGTAGGCCCAACTTTCATGTTTCAGTGTGAGGACATTGTTGCATCAAAGATACCGGTACTCCTGCAACATTTGCATACAGGAACTTACATAACATTAATGAACCTTTAAATCAAGTAACGATTAATGCTTATTTTATAATCAACTGGTGAAGTTTTAACATGTAGACCCTTGTTCTTTGCGGGGAGTTTGTTTTGACAGTAAACCTTGTTTCTCCTTGATTAATATGACATGTAAACATGAAATGTATTTCTGAAACAGCACCTCACGAAATATAATGATGACATGTTTATAAACTGAATCCTACAGTCACAAGGGGTACAACGATGTGTAAGCCTTAATATATTGCTTCATATGCTTTTCTGAAATTCAAGTGTGCTTTAATATGTTGTGTCTATGGCGTCCAACGGCGCCTCCATCTGCCTCTGTGGGATCTTTTAAACACGACGGAGGCTATTTGGAGAAATGCTTTTTATGGTAGTTACGTGGTCATTATCTAAATGTAATGAAATCTGGTAAATGTGTAGTAAATGGGGTTCAACATATGTGCTCCTTTTTACCTTGATTTTACCTTCGCACTTCGACAATACTGAAAGGTAACATTGACTTGACTCCTTATCCAGGTGTGTTACAGTGCTGTAGCGGAAAATGTAGGACTGTCCTGCAGACAGACATTGTACACATTAGGCGATTTTGTTGTAGGATGGTGATGACGAGTTTGGTGCCAACTTAGATTGAAGACCCTCATGAAAGACAGGAAGTAGTAAAGAATCTTCAAAGATAGAGATTAGAACGATATATTCAGTGGTTGAATATGGCCGAGATGGAGAAAGGTCAAAGTGACACAGATAGTGAAGAATGTACACCAGCAAATTGCAGGAGGAAAAGCAATGATGAGGACAACCCGCCTGGAACCACTGATGGATCAGGCAGTACTTCGGAGGATGCAGGAAATAAAGATGTTGATGAAGAGAGTGCTGACGAATGTTTGTTTCGTGACTTGACAGATGAAGAAGAGGGAGATAAAATCGAAGATATGTATCAACTTGGAGCATGTGCTACAAAGGTCAAATTCCAGACTGTTCAACAACAGTCGTACCAACTTGTAGGTAAAGGTATGTATGCTTACAGGAAGTAAGGCTAGGTAATGATGCCCTCTTGACAGCAACAAGTTCGAGTTTTTCCTCGGTCACTTGGCTCCTGTTGTTTCAGAAAGAGCCAACACAAGTTACAAAACGAGCCAATGCAAAATAAAAGAAAGCAGTGCATTTCAGGCTATTTATTTATGCTCATATCATCTTCCCGAGGCAAGGGAGCAAGCTAAGTCCAGTTGCCACCCTTGCCGAACTAGACTGGAATTATGGAGTTATATTTTGGCTGGACTGGCACATTGTAATTAAATACGCATAACGAAATTGATATGCAGTTCGTAAACAACACTGATTTCAACGTGCACATTTTTGACAAGTGCATGATGTGTACCGTCAACTGGGCGTCGACAGATATTTTCCAAATCTTTTGAAGTTTTTAATCAAGGTGTTCACTTGATTTGGTGATTTGATGCACTTTGCGAGGAAAGGCCCATTTTATTTCAATATATCTTGTTCACTGATCAGAACTGGTGCAGCCATTTTGTTCGAAGCAAATGCAAGTGATATGAGAATCTGATTGGTCAATAGGAGGGTCATAGAAGGGACATAACTCGTATTAGCCACTGGTGGCGCTAAGATTGAGCACAGTAATCGTACCCAAGTACTGAAAGGTTGGAAACTGGACTTCAGAGTCAGTTAACTCCCTTTCCTCGGGAAGATGTACTCATACATGTGATATAACACTAATAGGCTGAAGTGGCATTAAATTATTTCGTCATAATTCAGGTGAGCCACAGAGCATTGTGGCTATACTGCCTCACAATAATGGAAACACAATATGAATAGCCATGTCAAGTAATCATCTTAATCAAAATCCATAGTTGACTCCCAGTCGCTCTTGCCATAATGTCATCGGAAGTTAAACTATGAATTGATCACATTTCTTTTCAAAAACTGTCCTCTAAATTTTCATTGCGATCCAACTGTAATCATCGCCAATTAGGAAACAACCAAAACAGTGTTTTATTGCAACATGCTAAGATACAAAGATGTTGGTCAGAACAGGCCATTGGCTGAGTAACCATAAGGTTTTCCTGAAACTAATCCGAATGGATAATAGCCATGTTTGTTCCCATCATAGACACCACGGCAGTAGCACAACACATTGTGGGATGTTGTCAGCAACCACAGGGAGAAATAGCGTCAACATCACAGCAGGGGATACAACTCCAGCAAGCTTCAGCTGCTGGTGTTGATCAGACAACAAGTCAGGCACAGTTGTCAACAACTACGTCTTGTGTAGTCCCCGAAACAACTGTTGTACAAGTCCCGGGAACAGCAGCACTGACACCAGCGTCCACATCCTCTCTTCTACCCAGAATACCAGGATCTGTTGTATCAGAGATACAGTCATCAGGGCTACCTGGGGTACCAGTGCCTGTGGATTCTCCCGCAGGTGAGCGCTGTTACATGATACACACACATGACTAAAGGTTCAGATATCTAATACTTACAATAGGATAATTACAAATGACGCTTTTTAGCGAATATCCTGTGGCATCTATGCCTACATTTTTGGGCAGGGTGTCTGTAACCGTATACAGCCTCAATACAATCTCACCCGGCCTGATCAGAGAGTTGTAAGCTCTGCTCTATTTCAGGTTAGCCATTTTAGAAAAACGTAATGAGACCTTTAATGGAAATATAATGACTAATATGAAGTAGTATGCCTCTCTTCATGATCGTTGTCTATAGAGATAGCTAGGTTCAAATATAGAAACATCTGTGAGGGCTTCAGTCCCAGTTTCTGTTTCAGTTGTCCAGTACAACAATTTCTACGTACGGCAGAATTTTGAGGATGTGACAGTCAGGGGCGCCAGGAATCTGAACTTTGGCGGAACCCAGAACATTAGAGGAACACAGAACGATGGTGCACCTCGGACCAACCAGGAAGAGGAGAAACAACTGACTGCAGCACAGAAGATCAGGAGTGAGTTATCTACTTACTTTCGTAAACTGTCTGATCTCGTTTAGAACAATAACTTACACAGAAATGAGAAATGCTGTGAGAAAACATGTTTCAGTTTGATCAGTTTGATAGTGTTCGCAGGTCACATGTCAACATAAGGATGCTCAGAGTCCAACCTTATTTGATGATGGCTACAATACGTTCCTTTAACTGAGAATAAATTATCATAATAATAAGATTGTTAACTTTAACACAGATTTTTTAATATAGTCAAATGTAAAGCCCTGTTTTTACAGAAAGAACGGAATCCAGGATACAGTCGTGGACTAAAGACATGGTGGAGACAGAAGGCCTGCAGAAGGTGACAGACAAGCTAGACAGAGGAGCAACATGGGTGACACTTAAAGGAAGGCCAGGAGAGGGGAAGTCTACAATAGCCTACATGGCTCTCAAAGATCAGCACACTCAGGGGAGACAAGTGTATCAGGTGGTGTCACCGGAGGAGTTCAATGAGGTCATATCGGCCAGCACTAACCCTGTCATTATGTTAGATGACATATTTGGTGATCTGGAATTTGATGTAGCAGAATGGGCCAAGTGGAGACCAAGTCTACTACCTGTTGTGGATGTGAAAGATCCTGATAAATATACAGAAAAAGATTCCATAGACAAGTCCACTAATATAAAAAATGGTTTAAAGAGAACAAAAGATGAGCAAACAGAGCTGAAAAGAACAGCGCCTAACAAAGACCAAACTATCATTATCTTCGTAGGCCGTGACTATCTGCTGAAATCCTCATTGGCAGATTTGGGAAAGATGGCAGATTACATATCTAGTCCCCTGTATGTGGTGGAAGTTTCTTCTCAGAGAGACTCTAATGAACGAAGGAAGATTTGGCATGTTCATGTCAAAACAAAGACAAAGATGGACTTTGATGAGTCAACTGTGTCTCAGATATGTCAGGCTGACTGTCCACACGGCTTTCCCCATGTATGTAAAATGTTTGTCGCGACATATGGAAAGGATCAGCCGCAACCTTCAGCAGAGACTGTTTTAGATTTTTTTAAAATGCCTCTTGTGTTCCTCAAAAAGACTTTGGATAAATTTCTTAAGGATAAGATAAAGCGTTCACTGTTCATGGCTATGATTAAAAGAGATGGGAAGGTTAGTGGACAGGAGTTGGAGGAGGATGATAATCTTGCGTATGAAAGCATCACAGCTGCTGATGATTTGGTTGGATCCTACCTCATGAAGGAAGATGACACATACATGTTTGACCATCCCTCTATATATGACAGTGTTGCTTTATTACTCAGTACAAAACAATCAAAGTTTGTCATCGAAAATTGTAGTTTGTCATTCATCCATCAGCGACTTCGTCTTAAACCATCCACAAGACAAAGGGAAAGTGTTCCTAGTGAGACCGGTCTTGTTGCAAACATCTCATGGACCTTTGCTGGACATTTAGCCAGAAGATTTGCAACTGAAACTGAGAGGCAATTTGTTGCATGTCTTATCGCACCAGGCATGTTGTAATTCAAAGTTTATTGACTTGTTCATGGACTGTCTGAAGACACACTGTCACATGTCTGTTCCTGATATTCTGAAACTAGCTGATAATTCTTCAAGACAATCATATTTGGAATTGCTTTCAAGCAACAAGTCACATCATCTGATCAAATTTATCATGGAGAAAGAAAACATATCATTCAGCCAAAGTGAAATGCGTGACATTTTACTTGGGGTGTGCAAGAATGCTGCTTGTAGTGTATTGACCTACATCAGTGAACACATGAAGCTTGACATAGATGCTAGATATGGTCGGCATAATGTAACTCCGATCATGTTAGCAGCAGAAACCAAAGACAGCGTGTTTGTCGATCAGATTCTGGCCCTTGACCCTGACCTGAATGCAAGCGATTGTACAGGACAGACTGTCTTTCATTACCTTTGCAAGTATGGCCTTACATCAGCTGTGGAACAAGCAATTAACACGGGTGTGGATGTCAACGTGCATCGTGTAAATGGTGACCCTTTGTACCTTGCCATACAAAATGGTCACTTAGGGGTGGTGAAACTGCTGGTGAAAACAGGATTTGATCTGGATAACCAGAAAGGTCTTAGATTTGCTTCCATGAGCCAGAACAAGGACATGGTAGACTTTCTTTTAGACAGAGGAGCACAGGTTGATGGTGATGCTGTAAACAGTGTTTGTGAGGTGGGGAACTTGACTATGGTCAAAATGTTATTTGAGAAGGGTGCTACTGTTAACATGATGTCATCTAATGGACACACTCCCCTTCACAGCTCATGTAGACGACACTCAGATGTTATGTCATTTCTGCTGGCGAAAGGAGCAAATGTGAATCAACTCTCATCTGATACAGGTGACACACCACTTCATACAGCAGCATATCAGGGATATACAGTGTGTGTCAATGTGTTACTGAAGGCCGGGGCTGATGTGAATGTACAGAATCAGACAGGTGACACACCACTTCATACAGCAGCAGACAGTGGATCTACAGAGTGTATTGAAGTGTTACTTAAGGCTGGGGCTGATGTGAATGTACAGAATAAGAGAGGTTACACACCACTTCATACAGCAGCATTGTTTAGATCTACAGAGTGTGTTGAAGTGTTACTGAAGGGTGGGGCTGATGTGAATGTACAGAATAAGAGAGGTGACACGCCACTTCATACAGCAGCATTGTTTAGATCTACAGAGTATGTTGAAGTGTTACTGAAGGGTGGGGCTGATGTGAATGTACAGAATAATACAGGTGACACACCACTTCATAAAGCAGCAGACAGTGGATCTACAGAGTGTATTGAAGTGTTACTGAAGGCTGGGGCTGATGTGAATGAGGAGAATAAGACAGGTGACACACCACTTCATACAGCAGCAATGTGGGGATCTGCAGAGTGTGTTGAAGTGTTACTGAAGGCTGGGGCTGATGTGAATGTACAGAATAAGACAGGTGACACGCCATTTTCATACAGCAGCATTGTTTAGATCTACAGAGTGCGTAGAAGTGTTACTGAAGGCTGGGGCTGATGTGAATGTACAGAATAAGAGAGGTGTCACGCCACTTCATAAAGCAGCAGAGAGGGGATCTACAGAGTGTATTGAGGTGTTACTGAAGGCTGGGGCTGATGTGAATGTACAGAATAAGACAGGTGACACACCACTTCATACAACAGCAGACAGTGGATCTACAGAGTGTATTGAAGTGTTACTGAAGGCTGGGGCTGATGTGAATGAACAGAATAAGACAGGTGTCACGCCACTTCATAAAGCAGCAGGGTGGGGATCTACAGACTGTGTTGAAGTGTTACTGAAGGCTGGGGCTGATGTGAATGTACAGAATAATACAGGTGTCACGCCACTTCATAAAGCAACAGAGAGGGGATCTACAGAGTGTATTGAAGAGTTACTGAAGGTTGGGGCTGATGTGAATGTACAGAATAAGACAGGTGACACACCACTTCATACAGCAGCAGACAGTGGATCTACAGAGTGTATTGAAGTGTTACTGAAGGCTGGGGCTGATGTGAATGAACAGAATAAGAGAGGTGTCACGCCACTTCACAAAGTAGCAGGGTGGGGATCTACAGACTGTGTTGAAGTGTTACTGAAGGCTGGGGCTGATGTGAATGTACAGAATAAGACAGGTGACACGCCACTTCATAAAGCAGCAGACAGTTGATCTACAGAGTGTATTGAAGTGTTACTGAAGGCTGGGGATGATGTGAATGTACAGAATAATATAGGTGACACACCACTTCATTCAGCTTCATGTATGGGATCTGCAGATTGTATTGAAGTATTACTGAAGGCTGGAGCTGATGTGTCACACACCACTTTGTAAAACAGCATAGCAGGGATGTGCAGAGTGTGTTTAGCGAAGATATTATTCCATGTCATAGTTCCCCATTCATTACACACTGGTAAATACGTCTCAGATTTCATCAGTATATATATAGTTATGGGCGTGGCTTAGTACCCTGGTGGGTAAGGTGTCTGCTCCTGTGGACTGGGTTTGACTTCCTGGAAAGTGTTCAGCGGAATCTCAGCTGCTTTCAGATTATACCCACATAGTTAGACTAGAAGCATTGACAAATCGTACCCACCTACTCGCTGCTGCTCAACACTCTCTTACTCCATGTGTTGTACCTGTCAAATAGTCATTTTGTTTTGAGTGAGTGAGTGAGTATGGTATTACGCCGCTTTTTGCAATATTCCAGCAATATCACGGCGGGGGACACCAGAAATGGGCTTCACACATTGTACCCATGTTGGGAATCAAGCCCGGGTTTTCGGCGTGACGAGTGAACGCTTTAACCACTAGGCTACCCGACCACCCCTCATTTTGTTTTGGCCATCATTCTGTGGTTTGTAAATCGCTCTCTCCCACAAGCCGATAACCACCCACCAACGAACCCTTAAACTTCTTGATCACCTTACATTCCTATTGATTTCCCTAGCTGACTCAAGTTTTTTGTGGATAAACCCCAACGACATCATGCCTACGACACAGGATTTCTCTGTTTCTAAGTTCTGTCTGTGAGGCTAAGAACTTGTCAATTAACCCCTGTAGGACCGAAAAGAAATACATTGACTCACTGGTGTAATGTACAGAATATAATGTGAATGTAGTGTAGTTGCAACCTTCAACATGTTCGTCTAGCTTCTATAGACTCCCTGGTGTAATGTACAGACTATAGTGTGAATGTGGTGTAGTTGCAACCTTCAACATGTCCGTCTAGCTTCTACAGACTCCCTGGTGTAATGTACAGAATATAGAGTTAATGTAGTGTAGTTGCAACCTTCAACATGTCCGTCAAGCTTCTACAGACTCCCTGGTGTAATGTACAGAATATAGTGTTAATGTAGTGTAGTTACAACCTTCAACATGTCCGTCTAGCTTCTACAGACTCCCTGGTGTAATGTACAGAATATAGTGTTAATGTAGTGTAGTTACAACCTTCAACATGTTCGTCTAGCTGCTATAGACGCCCTGATGTAATGTACAGAATATACTGTGAATGTAGTGTAGTTACAACCTTCAACATGTTCGTCTAGCTTCTATAGACGCCCTGGTGTAATGTACAGAATATAGTGTTAATGTAGTGTAGTTGCAACCTTCAACATGTTCGTCTAGCTTCTATAGACGCCCTGGTGTAATGTACAGAATATAGTGTGAATGTAGTGTAGTTGCAACCTTCAACACGTTCGTCTAGCTTCTATAGACTCCCTGGTGTAATGTACAGAATATAGTGTGAATGTAGTGTAGTTGCAACCTTCAACACGTTCGTCTAGCTTCTATAGACTCCCTGGTGTAATGTACAGAATATAGTGTGAATGTAGAATAGTTTCAACCTTCAACATGTTCGTCTAGCTGCTATAGACTCCCTGGTGTAATGTACAGAATACAGTGTGAATGTAGTGTAGTTGCAACCTTCAACACACACACACCCACGCACGCACGCACGCACGGACGCACGCACGCTTGCACGCACGCACGCACGCACACACGCACACACACACACACTGTTGTGTAACATCCAAAGTAATTCTTAGAAATGCTTCTCGATGTAACTACTGCTTTAAATACTTGATTTATATATTAATTTTATAGTTAAGCAGCCAGAATGAGGTTTTTCATGGAGTTATAATCACTGTTTACAGACATGTTTCCTATTTTCAGGTTCATTCTCACACAAAATACACAAATTTTTATCTATTTTCATCTGTTGTAGTTCCGCTTGGGTGTATACTATTTGATGAATAAATATAATAATATTACAAATTGAGCAACATGGTTTCTTTATTGCATGGTGAGTAAGGTATTTTGGTCCTGGGTTTGGTCGTGACCCGGGTTTGACTTGAAAGTGTTCAGCCGATGTCGAGATTAAGCCGAAATACGGAAAAATCCTGCCCACTCCCTCCCTTGGGGTTGTATGTGATACGGATGGTGTTGCTCATGCTATCATTCACTGATTTGGGCAATACCTACTGACACCAGTAACACTGATTACACTTCATTCACTGCATGCGTGAACACGATCACTCATTCATGGCAACGTCGCCCCATGTGTCCCTGAATGAAAGGCTTCAATCAGTTGTTTGTCTGCTTTTAATGTCTGACCAGGCTGCCAGGTTGTGTGTCACCAGACCGAAGGATTCTACACTGGTGGTAAGTGCTACTCTTATGGCGATGCCGGTGTATGACACGGGTATGAGGGTGAGTGTGTTGTAGTGGGTGGGTGGATCTACTCTTGTGGTGAGTGCTACACTTATGGCAGTGCCGGTGTATGACACGGGTATGAGGGTGAGTGTGTAGTAGTGGGTTGGTGCTTCTACTCTGGTGGTGAGTGCTACACTAATGGCGATGCCGGTGTATGACATGGGTATGAGGGTGAGTGTGTAGTAGTGGGTGGGTGCTTCTACTCTTGTGGTCAGTGCTACACTAATGGCGATGTCGGTGTATGACACGGGTATGAGGGTGAGTGTGTTGTAGTGGGTTGGTGCTTCTACTCTTGTGGTCAGTGCTACACTAATGGCGATGCCGGTGTATGACACGGGTATGAGGGTGAGTGTATTGTAGTGGGTTGGTGCTTCTACTCTGGGGGTCAGTGCTACACTAATGGAGGTGCCGGTGTATGACACGGGTATGAGGGTGAGTGTGTAGTAGTGGGTGGGTGCTTCTACTCTGGGGGTCAGTGCTACACTAATGGCGGTGCCGGTGTATTACACAGGTATGAGGGTGAGTGTGTTGTAGTGAGTTAGTGCTTCTAATCTGGGGGTCAGTGCTACACTAATCGAGGTGCCGGTGTATGACACGGGTATGATGGTGAGTGTGTAGTAGTGGGTGGGTGTTTCTACTCTTGTGGTCAGTGCTACACTTATGGAGGTGCCGGTGTATGACACGGGTATGAGGGTGCGTGTGTAGTAGTGGGTGGGTGCTTCTACTCTTGTGGTCAGTTCTACACTGATGGAGGTGCCGGTTTATGACACGGGTATGAGGGTGAGTGTGTAGTAGTGGGTGGGTGCTTCTACTCTTGTGTCAGTGCTACACTAATGGCGATGCCGGTGTATGACACGGGTATGAGGGTGAGTGTGTTGTAGTGGGTTGGTGCTTCTACTCAGGGGGTCAGTGCTACACTAATGGAGGTGCCGGTGTATGACACGGGTATGAGGGTGAGTGTGTAGTAGTGGGTGGGTGCTTCTACTCTTATGTCAGTGCTACACTAATGGCGATGCCGGTGTATGACACGGATATGAGGGTGAGTGTGTTGTAGTGAGTTGCTGCTTCTACTCTGGGGGTCAGTGCTACACTAATCGGGGTGCCGGTGTATGACACGGGTATGAGGGTGAGTGTGTAGTAGTGGGTTGGTGCTTCTACTCTGGTGGTCAGTGCTACACTAATGGCGATGCCAGTGTATGACACGGGTATGAGGGTGAGTGTGTAGTAGTGGGTGGGTGCTTCTACACTGGGGGTCGGTGCTACACTTTTGGAGGTGCCTGTGTATGACACGGGTATGAGGGTGAATGGGTAGTAGTGGGTTGGTGCTTCTACTCTGGGGGTCAGTGCTACACTAATGGCGATGCCGGTGTATGACACGGGTATGAGGGTGAGTGTGTAGTAGTGGGTGGGTGCTTCTACTCTTGTGGTGAGTGCTACACTAATGGCGATGCCAGTGTATGACACGGGTATGAGGGTGAGTTTGTTGTAGTGGGTGGGTGCTTCTACTCTGGTGGTGAGTGCTACACTTATGGCGATGCCGGTGTATGACACGGGGATGAGGGTGAGTGTGTAGTAGTGGGCGGTTGCTTCTACTCTGGTGGTGAGTGCTACGCTAATGGCGATGCCTGTGTATGACACGGGTATGAGGGTGAGTGTGTAGAAGTGGGTGGGTGCTTCTACTCTGGGGGTCAGTGGTACACTAATGGCAGTGCCGGTGTATGACACGGGTATGAGGGTGAGTGTGTAGTAGTGGGTGGGTGCTTCTACTCTGGGGGTCAGTGCTACACTAATGGCGATGCCAGTGTATGACACGTGTATGAGGGTGAGTGTGTAGTAGTGGGTGGGTGCTTCTACTCTTGTGGTGAGTGCTACACTAATGGCAGTGCCGGTGTATGACACGGGTATGAGGGTGAGTGTGTAGTAGTGTGTTGGTGCTTCTACTTTGGTGGTGAGTGCTACACTAATGGCGGTGCCAGTGTATGATACGGGTATGAGGGTGAGCGTGTAGTAGTGGGTGGGTGCTTCTACACTGGGGGTCGGTGCTACACTTTTGGAGGTGCCGGTGTATGACACGGGTATGAGGGTGAATGGGTAGTAGTGGGTGGGTGCTTCTACTCTGGGGGTCAGTGCTACACTAATGGCGATGACGGTGTATGACACGGGTATGAGGGTGAGTGTGTAGTAGTGGGTGGGTGCTTCTACTCTGGTGGTGAGTGCTACACTAATGGCGGTGCCAGTGTATGACACGGGTATGAGGGTGAGTTTGTTGTAGTGGGTTGGTGCTTCTACTCTGGTGGTGAGTGCTACACTTATGGCGATGCCGGTGTATGACACGGGTATGAGGCTGAGTGTGTAGTGGTGGGCGGGTGCTTCTACTCTGGTGGTGAGTGCTACGCTAATGGCGATGTCTGTGTATGACATGGGCATGAGGGTGAGTGTGTAGAAGTGGGTGGGTGCTTCTACTCTGGTGGTCAGTGCTACACTAATGGCAGTGCCGGTGTATGACACGGGTATGAGGGTGAATGTGTAGTAGTGGGTGGGTGCTTCTACACTGGGGGTCGGTGCTACACTTTTGGAGGTGCCGGTGTATGACACGGGTATGAGGGTGAGTGTGTAGAAGTGGGTGAGTGCTTCTACTCTTGTGGTGAGTGCTACACTAATGGCGGTGCCGGTGTATGACACGGGTATGAGGGTGAGTGTGTAGAAGTGGGCGGGTGCTTCTACTCTGGTGGTGAGTGCTACACTAATGGCGATGCCAGTGTATGACACGGGTATGAGGGTGAGTGTGTAGTAGTGGGTTGGTGCTTCTACCCTGGTGGTGAGTGCTACACTAATGGCGATGCCGGTGTATGACACGGGTATGAGGGTGCGTGTGTTGTAGTGGGTGGGTGTTTCTACTCTTGTGGTCAGTGCTATGCTAATGGCGATGCCGGTGTATGACACGGGTATGAGGGTGAGTGTGTTGTAGTGGGTTGGTGCTTCTACTCTTGTGGTCAGTGCTACACTTATGGAGGTGCCGGTGTATGACACGGGTATGAGGGTGAGTGTGAAGTAGTGGGTGGGTGCTTCTACTCTTGTGTCAGTGCTACACTAATGGCGATGCCGGTGTATGACACGGGTATGAGGGTGAGTGTGTTGTAGTGGGTTGGTGCTTCTACTCTTGTGTCAGTGCTACACTTATGGAGGTGCCGGTGTATGACACGGGTATGAGGGTGAGTGTGAAGAAGTGGGTGGGTGCTTCTACTCTTGTGTCAGTGCTACACTAATGGCGATGCCGGTGTATGACACGGGTATGAGGGTGAGTGTGTAGTAGTGGGTGGGTGCTGCTACTCTTGTGTCAGTGCTACACTAATGGCGATGCCGGTGTATGACACGGGTATGAGGGTGAGTGTGTTGTAGTGAGTTGGTGCTTCTACTCTGGGGGTCAGTGCTACACTAATCGAGGTGCCGGTGTATGACACGGGTATGAGGTTGAGTGTGTAGTAGTGGGTGGGTGCTTCTACTCTTGTGTCAGTGCTGCACTAATGGCGATGCCGGTGTATGACACGGGTATGAGGGTGAGTGTGTAGTAGTGGGTTGGTGCTTCTACTCTGGTGGTCAGTGCTACATTAATGGCAGTGCCGGTGTATGACACGGGTATGAGGGTGAGTGTGTAGTAGTGGGTGGGTGCTTCTACACTGGGGGTCGGTGCTACACTTTTGTAGGTGCCGGTGTATGACACGGGTATGAGGGTGAATGTGTAGTAGTGGGTGGGTGCTTCTACTCTGGGGGTCAGTGCTACACTGATGGCGATGCCGGTGTATGACACGGGTATGAGGGTGAGTTTGTAGTAGTGGGTGGGTGCTTCTACTCTTGTGGTGAGTGTTACACTAATGGTGATGCCAGTGTATGACACGGGTATGAGGGTGAGTGTGTAGTAGTGGGTTGATGCTTCTACTCTGGTTGTCAGTGCTACACTTATGGCGGTGCCGCTGTATGACACGGGTATGAGGGTGAGTGTGTAGAAGTGGGTTGGTGCTTCTACTCTGGTGGTCAGTGCTACACTAATGGAGGTGCCGGTGTAAGACACGGGTATGAGCGTGCGTATGTAGTAGAGGGTGGGTGTTTTTACTCTGGTGGTCAGTGCTACACTTATGGAGGTGCCGGTGTATGACACGGGTATGAGGGTGCGTGTGTAGTAGTGGGTTGGTGCTTCTACTCTTGTGGTCAGTGCGGGAGTATGGGTATCAGTGATGGTAGAGACGGGAGTATGGGTAACAATGATGGGAGGGACGGGAGTATGGGTATCAGTGATGGTAGAGACGGGAGTATGGGTAACAATGATGGGAGAGACGGGAGTATGGGTATCAGTGATGGTAGAGACGGGAGTATGGGTAACAATGATGGGAAGGACGGGAGTATGGGTATCAGTGATGGGAGAGACGGGAGTATGGGTATCAGTGATGGGAGAGACGGGAGTATGGGTATCAGTGATGGTTGAGACGGGAGTATGGGTAACAATGATGGTAGAGACGGGAGTACGGGTATCAGTGATGGTAGAGACGGGAGTAAGGGTAACAATGATGGGAGGGACGGAAGAATGGGTATCAGTGATGGTAGAGACGGGAGTATGGGTAACAATGATGGGAGGGACGGGAGTATGGGTATCAGTGATGGTAGAGACGGGAGTATGGGTAACAATGATGGGAGGGACGGGAGTATGGGTATCAGTGATGGTAGAGACGGGAGTATGGGTATCAGTGATGGTAGAGACGGGAGTAAGGGTAACAATGATGGGAGGGACGGGAGTATGGGTATCAGTGATGGTAGAGACGGGAGTATGGGTAAGAATGATGGGGGGACGGGAGTATGGGTATCAGTGATGGTAGTGACGGGATTAAGGGTAACAATGATGGGAGGGACGGGAGTATGGGTATCAGTGATGGGAGAGACGGGAGTAAGGGTAACAATGATGAGAGAGACGGGAGTATGGGTATCAGTGATGGTAGAGACGGGAGTAAGGGTAACAATTATGGGAGGGACGGGAGTATGGGTATGAGTGATGGTAGAGACGGGAGTGTTGGTAACAATGATGGGAGGGACGGGAGTATGGGTATCAGTGATGGTAGAGACGGGAGTGTTGGTAACAATGATGGGAGGGACGGGAGTATGGGTATCAGTGATGGGAGAGACGGGAGTAAGGGTAACAATGATGGGAGGGACGGGAGTATGGGTATCAGTGAGGGGAGAGACGGGAGTATGGGTAACAATGATGGGAGAGACGGGAGTAAGGGTAACAATGATGGGAGGGACGGGAGTATGGGTATCAGTGATGGTAGAGACGGGAGTATGGGTAACAATGATGGGAGGGACGGGAGTATGGGTAACAATGATGGGAGGGACGGGAGTATGGGTATCAGTGATGGTAGAGACGGGAGTAAGGGTAACAGTGATGGTAGAGACGGGAGTATGGGTAACATTGATGGTAGAGACGGGAGTATGGGTAACAATGATGGGAGGGACGGGAGTATGGGTAACAGTGATGGTAGAGACGGGAGTATGGGTAACAGTGATGGTAGAGACGGGAGTAAGGGTAACAGTGATGGTAGAGACGAGAGTAAGGGTTACAGTGATGGTAGAGACGGGAGTAAGGGTAACAGTGATGGTAGAGACGGGAGTAAGGGTAACAATGATGGTAGAGACGGGAGTATGGGTAACAGTGATGGTAGAGACGGGAGTGTTGGTAACAATGATGGGAGGGACGGGAGTATGGGTATCAGTGATGGTTGAGACGGGAGTACGGGTTACTGTGATGGTGGAGACGGGAGTACGGGTAACAATGATGGTAGAGACGGGAGCACGGGTAACAGTGATGGTAGAGACGGGAGTAAGGGTAACAGTGATGGTAGAGACGGGAGTAAGAGTAACAGTGATGGTAGAGACGGGAGTAAGGGTAACGCTGATGGGAGAGACGGGAGTACGGGTTACAGTGATGGTGGAAACGGGAGTACGGGTTACAGTGGTGGGAGAGACGGGAGTAAGGGTAACAGTGATGGTAGAGACGGGTGTAAAGGTTACTGTGATGGTGGAGACGGGAGTACGGGTTACAGTGATGGTGGAGACGGGAGTAAGCGTAACAATGATGGGAGAGACGGGAGTACGGGTAACAGTGAGGGGAGATACGGGAGTATGGGTTACTGTGATGGGAGGGACGGGAGTATAGGTATCAGTGATGGTAGAGACGGGAGTAAGGGTAACAATGATGGGAGGGACGGGAGTATGGGTATCAGTGATGGTAGAGACGGGAGTATGGGTAACAATGATGGGAGGGACGGGCGTATGGGTATCAGTGATGGTAGAGACGGGAGTATGGGTAACAATGATGGGAGGGACGGGAGTATGGGTATCACGGGATGGTAGGGACGGGAGTATGGGTAACAATGATGGGAGGAACGGGAGTATGGGTATCAGTGATGGTAGAGACGGGAGTATGGGTAACAATGATGGGAGGGACGGGAGTATGGGTATCAGTGATGGGAGAGACGGGAGTAAGGGTAACAATGATGGGAGGGACGGGAGTACGGGTAACAATGATGGTAGAGACGGGAGTAAGGGTAACAATGATGGGAGGGACGGGAGTATGGGTATCAGTGATGGGAGAGACGGGAGTACGCGTATCAGTGATGGGAGAGACGGGAGTATGGGTAACAGTGATGGCAGAGACGGGAGTATGGGTATCAGTGATGGGAGGGACTGGAGTACGGGTAACAATGATGGCAGAGACGGGAGTATGGGTATCAGTGATGGTAGAGACGGGAGTATGGGTAACATTGATGGTAGAGACGGGAGTATGGGTAACAATGATGGGAGGGACGGGAGTATGGGTAACAGAGATGGTAGAGACGGGAGTAAGGGTAACAGTGATGGTAGAGACGGGAGTAAGGGTAACAGTGATGGTAGAGACGGGAGTATGGGTAACAGTGATGGTAGAGACGGGAGTGTTGGTAACAATGATGGGAGGGACGGGAGTATGGGAATCAGTGATGGTAGACACGGGAGTATGGGTATCAGTGATGGTAGAGACGGGTGTAAGGGTTACTGTGATGGTGGAGACGGGAATACGGGTTACAGTGATGGTGGAGACGGGAGTAAGGGTAACAATGATGGGAGAGACGGGAGTACGGGTAACAGTGAGGGGAGAGACGGGAGTATGGGTAACAATGATGGGAGGGGCGGGCGTATGGGTATCAGTGATGGTAGAGACGGGAGTATGGGTAACAATGATGGGAGGGACGGGAGTATGGGTAACAGTGAGGGGAGAGACGGGAGTATGGGTAACAGTGATGGGAGAGACGGGAGTATGGGTAACAATGATGGGAGGGACGGGAGTATGGGTAACAGTGATGGGAGAGACGGGAGTATGGGTTACTGTGATGGGAGGG